AGGCATGTGTAAGTTTGAGATGGTGGAAAGTAGACTGGCAAACAAAGTATTTATGCATCACAACTTGAGTTGAGGAGCTTTGTCCTGAGGTTCTTGACTCTGGGAGTTTCATGAAAAAGCCCCACATCAATATTATAGATGGTGGTTTGCACAAATGTGCACAGGCTGTTTAAGGCCTGGCCATAGAAGATGCCAAACACATAATGTATCTTGAACAGTTCATCAAAGGCTGACAGGGAAGACCTAATTGCTATTTATAATATTATAAAAAAGTTTTTATGTATTGCTATTTATATTTATAAATGTATTATATAAATGTGTTTGTATTTATTGCTATTTATATTTATACATTATTTGTGGAACAGTTTGTCTAAATAGGGGAATTATGGAAGAACAGATGCGGTAAACCCTCTTAACTATATTCTTAGATCCAGATATTTCCTGACTGAGATTTACTTAATCTAGTATGTTGTCGTGCTACCCCATCATGTGAAAATCCGCTTGGGTAAGTTCCTTTGTATCAAGAGAAATGATAATTGGTCAAAACATTCGTTTGTTTTTGGAATGTAGATTCCACTCGTTGATATTGGATGGTTTCAAAATGGAAATCAGGATACACTGACCTTATGAAACTTCACTAGGGGATTCACAGTTTCCCGGATACTGATCTTCACGGCTCCCTTCTTCCCACTTGGTGGCAGGAGGTAGACCAGCAAGAATCAAGAATGTTAATTGCCCCACTTGCTGCCTGCTCAGGAAAAAACTATCTCTATTGCTCCTATGAAACAACAACTGCTCATTAAAATATATACTCACATAGCCCTTTTTTGAATAGGGATCTTTCAGAGCAGGGAACAGTGTTACAATCCCCAATGCATATTGTGTTCTTTTGTCCTTTGGCGGAGCACTTCTGTGGGAGTAAATGATAGGTTGCATTGACAGGGAAAAAGGCTGTATGACAATTTACAATGGGGACCCTAGATACAGTATGTCAACTCAAATAAGCTACTAAACAATATACAGGTTGCAAGGACTGACTAAATCTATAAGGCTGTGTGTGTCTTGCAGATGGGTAATGATTAGTTTAGATTAGAATATTGGTATTTTCATGGAATTACTTAGCCATGTGGCACAAGGCAAAAACATTTGTTAGTAGTGATTTCATTAATTGACTGACAGTTTCAACTGAAAGAAGGTGAAATGGATTAAACCATCTGGTACCCTTTCAAAAAGCTACTCTCTTAGTTCCTTAGGGACATAAATGTCCTCTATAAACAACTGCTAAATATATATATATATATATATAGGCAGACATTTTATATTAGACAGACATTTTAAAAAATCTGGCGCACGCTTTGTTAAATTGCCAATAAAGGTATTAATAACCAAAGGGAAAAAAAATTGTATTTTTGAAAAGAACTGAGTTGACTGAAAGCTCTATGTCTATCTGATATACATTTAGAGCTTTACTTTTATAGAGGACATTTATGTCCTTAAGGGCCTAAGAGGGTGCCTTTTTGGCACACAGTGTATTATTATTTTAAGTTTACATGAAATTAGGTTTCCTGGGCCAAAATCATGCCATTTGAGGTCATACAGTGAGAGTTATGGCCAAAAAATTAGTGATTTTCTTTTAAGCTGCAGCCAACAAGTCATCCCCCCCCCCCCCTGCAATTTTTGAATCTTTGAATTTAGCATTCTGACCCATTAAAGAAGCAGTGCTAACAATAAAAAGAACGGCCATTTGGAGACCATAGAGGCCATTTATGAGAATTAAAGTTCTCCAAATGAGAACTTTAATTCCTGAGGTGATAGCATGGGAAGAGATGGTAAAACTATGCATCTGTTTTTTGTTTTTTTTTTTAATACCAGGGATAGGCTACAAACAGTTTTAGTGGTTGATACGGCCACATTTTGAGCAAATAAGGCCATATTAGATAGTCTACTACTTGGTAACTAAGTGCTCAGTGTTCTTATCAGTCGACATGTTTCATAGATAAATGGATTGGTTCTGAAAACAATGAAAAGCCAATTCTGCCTAACTGAATCTAATCATTTTTTGTAGTTAAGTCAATTTCAATGGCCACACAATAATACTGTTGATCACATGACCGCTTACCAGTGACTGAAAGTGTCAACAATCGTCCACAGGATGTCTGTTTTTTCCTCCAGAATGTCACTGAAGACCTCTTCGTCCACCTCTGTTTCGGTGTCATTCAGTACATATGTCTTTTTCAAGTGGGTATACTGAACTTAATTTTAGCTTTGAATACAGAGAAACAAATTAAATGAAGTTTGGGGTGCATTATTGTTCATCTTACTACCACCACAGACACGAGACAAAGTGGGAAATCAAGTCCATTGCCCAAGGACACAATATGGCTATCGTTTAGGCTACAAGAAGCAGACATATTAACTTACCCTCCTTAAGAAATAAGAGTGTAAGTCTCCATTTAGTTTGACGTACTTCTTCTTTCCTTTGTACTGTACTTTGAACAGCATTGCTGTAGACCTTCCACAGCTACGTACAACACAAACATACTATTACATACGATTAGTGCACAGTTACCCACTAGCAACGTAACTTTGGGTGGGAGTCGGAAGCTTTGAAGTAGCTTCGGTAAAGCTAGCCACCAGGAGAGATTACTGTTGTTGTTTCTGTTTTTCAAAAAACCTGCACAACCGTGCTAACATTACGAACACAATATCAATTCTGATCAATTAAACATTCGCAGTGAATTTACAACTAATATAGCAAGTTAGCAAAACTACATTGAAACCGTGTTTGCCTCCTTAATGTCTAACAGTTAAAGTTTTTATTTATTCACGGATTGAAACGTGAAAAAAAAAATTCCATGCATTATTTATTCACTTTAGTTTCTTAGCCTACCTGCAGTCCTGCGGAGCTGTTGAGGCAGACGTCGGTTAGTGTCGTTGCTGCACTCCTGCAAGATGTGGGCTCAGAACATGTGACTGGATTCAACCAATGAGAGGGCATGGAGCGCCCGACAAAATCTAAACCTAACTCTTGGTGAGGCTGGGAAAGACTCAATCAAGAAATAAACTCTCAGGGGGTCTATCATTGTAAAATAAACACTACGATAACTCTACACTAACACTATGCATAGAAAGAACACCAGAGAGAGATTATGGTCCAACCTGAAAAGTGTACTTTGTGCCCATTGACACCAAAGTGTAAAATCTTCTACTCTCGTCATCAAAACTCTGGGATTTTAACACTCTGGCATTTGCTGTGTATAACTGGGTATGGCAGAAAACAGTTTGGCGAAAAAGTTGTAATTATCAAAATTGGGGCATAAATATTTACTAGAATGACTGGAAGAGAAAACATACCTTACATATACCTAACATGTCTTCCATTAGGGTCACTGACCACCTCCTCAGACTGAAATGCGACATCTTTGTGTATAAGGATTGCAGTCCCTCTGGCTTTGACATTAAACCATGAGTGGAACATGTCCACACAGTGGACGTATTTCTTTGAAGCCTGCTATCTGCCTGCAAAATGTAGAGTAGATTTCCTGAACTGCGGCGTGCAACGTGATCTTGTTGAGCCACGTTCTGTTCATGAAAGTGATTCCACAGTTAACTGTCATCTAACAGACCTGCCGACAGGAATTCAGACATGGTTCGTGGATCGGAATTCTTTGCAAGTTAAGTCGGATTGGTCCGATCCACTAATTACGTTGGGATCGGCTGCCGGTACTGATACTGGATCGAATCGGTCCATTTCCCTACCTTTTACATAAAGTGAAACAGTGGATGGATTGAGATTTAGTGACATTGACTCTAAAAGTCGACGGGTTAACAGAGGCGTTGCATACCGTGTCCAATGACCCATCATACAAGCCACCGTGCAGGACTACAGTGACGACCAAAATCAGAAAGATGTTTGACGGAGAAAAGAAGAATAATCTTGAGAAAAGAACAGCAATAATTTCTCCATGGTGGACGTAACTAAAGGTTGCAGGCAGCACTTGAGACTAGTCTCAAATACAGTGGAATGTAAATGTCTATGACTGCATCTGTTCGTCTTTAAAAAACAATAAATGACTTTATAAAGCCATTTTCTTTTGTTATATGTCTTATCTTTTGATCTGCCACAATGATTTAATACATTTAATTGAAAATGTCTCAAGTTGAGGGCTTTTCGCAGTAATTTTTAGGTGGGATTAAAAATAGATTAATTAGATAAATTAATTACAGATCATAATTAATCTCAATTGAATCTATTGACAGCACCAAAGAATATCAAATATTGTGAGGCTTCTAAAGAGCCATAATAAAACCTTGAAAGATTCTTGCTATATTTTGATCCGGGTCACGGCACCAGTTGAAAGATGTATTGCAGTGGTTGCATGGTTAATATTACCATTCATTTTCTTCTGCTGTTTTGCACTGTTTTATATAATGTACATACAGTATGTATATATGTTTTAATAAAGATTGTTTTCAGAGTTGTATTGCAGTGGTTGCATGGTTAATATTACCAGGTATTTACTTATGCTGTTATGTATTGTTTTATATATTGTGCAGGTGGCTATGTGTAAAGCACTGTTTAGAATCCATTTGGCCCATTTTAGAAGACTTTTGGGAGAATTCCTCTCTATTGGTAACGATAGATAGGCTATTCTGTTCTGACTTCCTATGTGACTATCAGTGGATTTTATTTCTCTGCTAGGCATTTGACAATTATTTTGACAATTAATAATTTATTATTTATTTATTAATGTGCCTTGATTTTATTGAGGTTTAGTCATAGCTATAAATGCAATGGTACTAATAGTTAGCACAATAATTTCTTTTGGTTTTCAGCCTTGGTTTCCTCATTTTCGGTTTTCGGTTTCGGCCAAGAATTTAAATTTTGGTGCAGCACTAAAACAAACAGTTGCCAAACTCTTCTTGTTAACTTTTTATCTTTTTTTAATTTACTAAGAGTGCAGTGATTAAAATCATTTTTCCCTCTGTTGTCTGTTCAGTCCCTCAGGGAAGAAGTTCCGCAGTAAACCTCAGTTGTCCAGATACTTGGGAAACAGTGTGGACCTGGCTTGTTTCGACTTCAGGACTGGGAAGATGATGCCAGGGAAACTGCAGAAGAACAAACAACGGCTTCGGCACGATGCACTCAGCATCTCCAAGGTGAGCGGCAATGATGTCGCGTGTGTGTGGAGGGGAGGGGGTCATGTGTTCTGTGTGTGTGTTTGCTGTGAGATAATTAGATTGTTGTTGGTGTTACTGAAGTAGGTCACTTTGTTCTGAGGATTGTTTCAAACCCTCAGCCACAGCACAGACCAAGGTTAATTAAACCTGCTGAGCATCGGCTGCTTTTAGCCCCTCCGCCCCCATAAAAGTTCTTACGTGACAGTTAAATGAGGAGTGTGCGTTGCCGTCACTTGTTGCTGTCGATAGTTTTGTATGAGTTTTTATAAGAAATGAGTGATGAGTGGACCAGACCAAGGACTTCACTGATGGTCCATCTGTGTGTCCCCAGGTTGTCTCTTCATTGATGCGTAGAACTGATAATTTCTGTATTTCTGTAGTCTCTCTTCTGAAACACAAATTTTCAGGAAACCTTTTCTGTTAAAAAGGACTGTAAAAAATGCTGTTATTTCATACCCTAGTTTCCTAACACACAAAAAATTCAAATTAAGATCAAATAAAGATCTGATCAAATAAAGAATCAAATACGAGATCTCACCTCTCAAGTTTTAAAATTTTTACTGGCAGCAAGGAGTGCAGAACAATGGTTACATTCAGAACTGCACTGAGGAACTCCTCAGTGCTCAAAGCTTAAATACAGTTTTTTTTACACACACAAACTTCAGTGGTCA